AAAAAAAAAAAAAAAAAAAAAAAAGAGAAAGCAAGCCTTCTGTGTATTTAGCTCAGTGGCACCGAGCCTGCCTTGCAAACACAAGGTCCTAAATTCACTCCCTGGTATGGGAGGACAGGAGCCATCCTGCTGAGTAAGAGAAGTATTCTGTGTTTAAAATGTTAAACTTTAGGCCAGGCATGGTACGCCTGTAATCCCTGCACTTGGGAGTCTGAGGCAGGAGGATCTCTTGAGGTCGAGACCAGCCTGGGGGCTACATAGTGAGTTCCAGGTCCGTCCCAACTACATAGTGTGACCCTGTCTCAACCCCCACCCCAAATAAAATGGTTAACCCACAATCCTACCACTATTTCAAAAAATATCATAAATAGGTATACATTAATTGGAGCTTTGTGTGCACTCGTATGTTACTAAGGGGCTGCGTGTCCCACTGTAAATTGGAGACCACTGCTCCAGGTGGTGGTACTTCCTCGTCTGCATATTTTAAAAATGACTTTATATTATCTTTGAGCAGTTTTAAGTCCATAGCAGAGCTGAATAGAAGGTGCAGAGATTTCTCTGATACTTGCCTCCGCACATGCATAACTTCTATCACCAACACCCCACCAAGATGTAACTTTGCTGAGTTTGATGAACCCCGTGGCCATATCATTCGAAGTCCTCAGGGTGGAGGATTTAGCTGTGCCACGCAAGCGCAAGGACCCGATTTCGATCCCTGCCGCACCGTTCACACTTGGTGTTCACATTCTCTCGGTTTGGACAGACTCCCATGGCACGTGTTTACAGCGTTGTACCGGATATTTTCACTGTCCTAAAAACCTACTTTGCCTGTTCATCCCTCCCTCTCTCCCAGCCCCTGATAACCACTGCTCTGTGTTTGCTGTCTCCATAGTTTTGTTTTTTCCAGAGTGTCATCTTGGGAATCGTGCCGTCTGTGGCAGGGAGGCAGGTAAACACAGTGTGAAGGAAGCCAGGCATCTTCAGCAGATGAGTGAACTGGAATCCCTTCCTCTCTCTACCACAGTCACTGGGGAGGGAGGCCGGGCTGCTAGTAGAAGGAAACTCTGGCTCTGAATGCTCACAAGAATTTCCCGTAGTCCTCTGGGCAGGGTCATTATGTGTGAGGCTGTGCTTTTATGCAGCTGGGAAGGTCAGGACCACCAGGTCTCATTCTGCGTAACAGAGAGGGACCCAGATCACTAGCATCTCCTCCGTGAGGGAGGAAACCCCAGCTTGCACTCAGGGTGGGACCAGGTGGGACAAGGGACTCCCCTGGAGCCCTGTACTGGTCCTCGCCAAGGGAAGGCCTGGTCACACGGAGGTTCTGAGGCACACAGACCTCCTGGCTCCTAGTCAGTCCTCAATACAAGTCTATTAAATTGAGTTCTGAAGCAATCTGGGTGATCTAAGCTAAACAGAACTAGACTGAGTGAGATCTACACATTTTGCTTCTTCGCCCTTCTTGCTTGTAGCTAGCAAACTGCATTAAAAGTGGTGTATGGATTGATTTCATACGCATTCTCATTTTTTCTTATTTTCGGGCAGTGCTGGGAATTGAATCCAGGCCCTTCCAGCTGACAGGGCTCATTGGTGAAGACCCTTGGGGATTATTTTGAGTGAGTTTTCTGGAAGGGAAAAAAGCTTCCGTTACTTTTGTGTCCTGAAGCTGCAGTTTTTCTTAAAAGTAGAATTTTACAACTGATTTTTCTTGTTTCCTGCCTACCCATCTTTATTTCATCTGTCTTACCTCCCTTTGAAAGAAACCGGCGCAGAGCTCGTATGAGAGATCTTTATTAAAGACCCACGGCCTCACGGTGCCGGCTGGGTGGAAAAGGAGCAAAGGAGAGAGAAGCGGCGAGGGGCTTGGTTACGTAGTGGATGACTGGTGCAGGCGGGGCGGGGTCCACCCGGGCCACCTTGGGACTCCATTCCTCACACGGACAAGCCTCGTTCACGGCTGCTTTTTATTTATGACCAGCGGCGCGTGATGTAGGAAATGGAAACTTTCAGGCGTAGAAGGAATTGCTTATCAGAGTGGCAGCAGCTGTTCCAAGGCCCTTCTCCTGTGCCATTGGTATAAGGAAGGGCCACAGCTATGCTGCCCGTCCCGTTCGCACCCTTCACAGAGATACAAGGGAAATAAACGTAACTCCCAACCCGCTAGATGTCAGATACGGCAAATTTATGTTTCTCAGACTCAAACAATGAATTCTAAGAAATGATAGAGGCTTAGAGTAGGAAAATTTATTGAGAGAGAGAGAGAGAGAGAGAGATATCCAGACACAGGATGGGGCCCAAAGGGGGTCGCTTGGAGCCCACTTCTCTGAGAAAGATCTTAGAGAGCAAAATCACGAGGTGGTGCAACGTAGATCAAAGCTGTGCTCAACCAATAAGATTACAAGTACAGCTGATTGGCTCTTATTGATCCAATAGCAGCAGCGGTCTATGGATGACTTTGGTAACCTTGGTCGATAATTGTTCATTTTGGTTTCAGTGGTCTTAGTCTTAGTGGGTGGAGAAGATGGCCATCCCTTAAAGAGATGATGGTTTATTTACACAGGAAATCTCAGAGGGTGGTTCCAACAATCTCAAGCTTCCTTAGGGAAGTGTGTAAATCTGGCCACTGTGATTTTAGTCTTCTTCAGATGCATCTCCAGCCACGGTTGTGATGTGTCCTCATCTTCTGCGGGACACCCTCACGGACCCAGCGCTGACTGCCTGTGCTATCCCTACCTAATCTAGCTATAATAACAGGGCTGATGATGAGCCTCGTGTCCGCTCCTCCCTTGATTTTCTCCTTCAGAGGCCTCTTCCCATGGTATGCCGCTCGCTGCTGGAGGACAGAGGGCAGGACTCAGTGAGCCTGGTCGAAAGTAGCAGCCTCCAAGGGATGGAGATTCTCACGGGAGATGCGGCTGAACCCCAGAGGAGATGGCATTTCTGCGAAGATGGGTCATGAGTTCCCTCCTTGTGTGGGTCATGGACCAGGCCCGGTGGTGTAGGCGACCGATCACAGACACAGACAGACATAGACACTTCCCCTTCCAGAAGCTTACAAACCAGTGGAGGGAGTGATACAAAGGCATAGGTGACTGTAATAAAGACAATGTGTAGTAAGAACCACGCTTTCCTATTTAAACAATGATCTGCCGATTCCTCTAAACCACTTCTTTTGCCCTTTTCTGTCCATTAACCTTTGTTTCCTCTCTGCCATGATCTGATTGCACTCTCCGAATCACAGGCTTTGCACAGAATGACAGCTCCTGCAAAAAGCAGGAAGAATAAAAGCAGTGGCTTCCCACTAGGGCCTTGTTAGCAGGGAAACACTGGAGGCTGGAAGGGTCATGTGGCTCAGAGGCCTGTTTGCTCCTGACAATTAAAAAATTAATTTAGGGAAGGGGAAGTGGGAGGGGAAGGAGAAAAGAAAGAAGGGAATGGAATTAAAATGAGAAAAAGAAAAAATGGAGACAGTCTTTGCAGATAGGGACGGGTGGAGGGTTGAAGAGAGGGCAGGGGAATGGGGGAAAAATGAGAACCGAGATGGATCGTGTAAAGATGCAAGTTTCCAATCATGAATGTTGTTATACTGTATACCTTAAATGTACCAACAAAATTAATTAAAAAATTAAGTTATCCTCTTAAAAAAAAAGGAAGTTAGGCCAGTCACAGTGGCACATATCTGCAATTCTAGCTACTTGGGAAGCTGAGGCAGGAGGGTTGCACATTTGAGGCCTACCTAGACAGCATAAGATCCTGTCTCAAGAGGGAAAAATAAAAAGGACTGGAGATATAGCCTAGTGCTAGTGTGAGTGAGGGAGAGGAGATACTAGAATTGTCCAGGGGCCGGCTGAAAAACTGTGGAGTTATTAAGGTCTGGGGCTAGGTTATCAGGATAGGAGAAGCTAATAATGACCTGGGGTGCAGACAGGACGCCCACAGCTTCCTACCTGTGCTTCCACACCCAGCACCTGACAAGGAAATCACAGTGCTTCCCCGAACCTGAGTTTCTTCATCTGAAGCATGGCTTTAATAGCCACTCTATCCAACTGACAGGGTTTTCCTAAGCATAAACTGGGTTAACGTCTGCACGTGAATTCTGTCCTCTCACCCCCAGCCGCACAACCCAGTGCTTAGTGGCTGCCTCTCCTTTCAGGGGAACTCGCCTTCCTTGGCTCACTGGAGAAGGGAGATTGGGAAGAATCCAAGGCCCCGCTGAGCTACAGAAGTGACTCAGCAGTTTCCTCACTGTCTTTCCAAGGACTCAGAATGGCTTCATCAGGCAATCACCCTGGTGTGTTGTACACAGTAGAATTTTAATTCAATCAACTCAACAACTTCATACTGAAGAGATTTTCATCCCCTCAGACAGAGGAAGAAACCAAAGGTTGGAAGAGGTGACGGCGCCACACCTCACTGAGTTCGGCTCAGATCCGACTGACGCAGGCCCATTCACGCGTTCACTTTGCCCCACTCGGTGTTCAGTTTAGACGGATGTGGAGACAAACCCCAGGGTCTACGCCGTCCCGTCAACATCCGGGCCCCGCACGCCCTTGGAGAGATGCGAGAAGAGGTGAAGCCTCTCCTCAGGGCTGTTCTGTGGAAACATCTGGGTCCGAGTGAGGCCTATGCCCAGTTAATGGGATCTAGATCCTCATTCTCCCTCTGTTTCTTTCTCCTGCACCCCTTAGGATGACTCCACATCCAGAAATCCACAGCCTCTCTCGGGGCTCTGGAAGCTGTCCAACCGCCCTCCGCCCTCCGCCCTCCGCCCTCCGGAGGTCAGGCCAGATGGACACTTCCGGGGCCCCCTAGCTGTGTGACAGCTTGCATTAAGCGGTAGAGGGGCAGGCTGCACTCTAACTTCCTTTCTAACTCTTTCTCCGGGCACTGCCACCTCCTCCTTTTGGCCTGCTTTCTAATGTCCCTAAGGCCTTTTCAAGTAGGGGGAGTGGAAGAACAGAGTGTGTGTGACCAATCAAGAAATGCCATCCTCTAATCAGGTCACCCAGGCTAACCCAGCTGGCTCTGAGCCTTTTGCCTGGGGACCTTTCTGTTTTGTAACAGAACAGCTAACCTCAAGCGAGGCCACTCTGTCCGAATCTTTTGATCTACAATACACAGTAGTGATCTCCCAGGAGCGTTCTGTCTTGCCGACAGGTCTCCAGAAGGGGGCACTGCAGTAAGAGTTCTAGGAAGAAGCCGGCGCTTTACCCAGGGGATCAGCAAGGAGCCTCTCCCCTGCTTGCCTGCTTGGGTAACCAAGGACGAGTGCTTGCTGGGTGATTTTCCTTGGGTATAGAAGTATCAGAATTTTCTAGATATGGGGAGAAAAGAGCCTCATATAATATATAGGAGAATGCAGCAGTTATTATAGAAGACTCTTATACAAAAATGGTTTTACATTTTTATTTACCAGCCACAGTTAGAAAATGACAACAAAATTAAAGCTAATATATACAGGAGAAAAGCTGTAAGGCACCAGAAACAAATCTGATTAAATATATATGAAAACTAACCAAAGATTGATAAGAAAAAGACAAACAACAAATACAGTTAGGCAAAAGATATGAACAGGCAACAACTCATAGACAGAAATCTAAAAGACCAACAAATACACAGAATGTCATACACTTTTACTAGCGGCCAGAGGAATGTAAATTAAAGCAAAGTGAGGGGCCCAGGATTTAGCTCAGTGGCACTGAGCCTCCCTCACAAGTGCAAGGTCCTGAGTTCGATCCCCGGTACTAGCACAAACAAACAACAAAACAAATAAATAAAGCCAAGTGAGATACCATTACAGAGCTGTAAGACTAGTAAAACCAAAAACATTTGCCAAAGGATCGGGGAAGATCTTGCAGGTTGCGAACACATGCGCTGTTGGTAAAAGTATAAATCAATGGGGGTGTTTTGGGTAATGTAGTAATTACTTAGCGAAGCTACTTACCCATCACTCCACTGAACAGATTCTCTTATGTGGGCCTAAGGGTATGATGAAGACTGTATGATGCAATTGTTTGAAAGAAGAAAAGAATCCCAAACAACCTCAGTGTCTACCAAGAGAAAAATTGGATGCATTGTGAAACAGACATGCAACAGAATATCATGCAGCTGTGAAAATGAACAAAGCAGAGCAAAAATTTCCAAGTAGGAAGTGACCAGCTGACATTTGGCTATGGCAAAATATATTTATATCTATCTATCTATATCTATCTATATCTATCTATCTATCTATCTATATATATTTGTTTCTTTGTTTTTGTTTTTTGAGACAGAGTCTCACTGTGTAGTTGAGACTGACCTGGAATTCACTATGTAGCCCAGGCTGGTCTCAAACTCACAGTGATCCTCCTGCCTCAGCCTCCCAAATGCCGGGATTACAGGTGTGCGAGACCATGCCTGGCGGAAATATTTTTATTTAAGAAAAAAAAAGTTAAAACAGAGAGGGAAGAAGAAAGAGATGCTTGTTTATCTTCTAGGCTACAGGAGCTAAGTTGACAAGTGTTTTTGACAAGACTTGTTTTGGCCACTTTAACTCCTGGAGGAGACAGATTGTGACTCTGGAATTCTCTCATCTATTAAAAACAGATGGCAATGAGTCATTTGTTAGTGATTTCTTTTCACCAACCCTGACATATGTTGAAGGGTGGTGCTCTCTCAAGTCCTCTCTTTACTGGGCCTGGCATTTGGAAGAACTCAAAGAGGGTGAGTGGGGAGGTGGGGTGTGGGGGTGTGTGGAAGGGGTGCCCTCCTTTCTTGATGTCATTAGGATGTCCTGCTGCATGAGGCTATCCTGGAATTCTTTTTTTGGTACCTGGGATCAAACTCGGGTCCTTAAGCTTCCAAGGCAGGCAGCAGAACCACTGAGCTAACTCCCTGGCCCTCCTGGAATTCTTATTACACCTCAGGAGTCTGGCTCCAGCCACTGATGACCTCACAGACAGCAGGTGCTGCCTCACCCATGTGGCCTGAGTGAGGGAAACCTCTCTTCTGGATCCCTGCTTTGGAAAAGCTCCCTGCCCTCCTGCCAGGGCCTTGTCCCCAGTTGCCTTCCTGATCTGGCACCAGCTGACAAACACCAAACTGTGTACTGTGTCCCCTTCCTTCCCATAGGAAGGCATCCACGATGTTGTCACCACATCCTCCAGTTAAGCCAACAACAGGAATTAAGCATGGGAAAAAAAAAAAAGATCTGGGTCTAGGGCTGAAAGAAGACAACATGTTCAAATTTGGGACTTTAAGTTTTCAACGATGAGTGTTATTTTATTTTTTAATATCCTTGGGAACTGTTGAGCTTTACAATATTCTCGGGGGACAATGAGGAAGATTTGGATCATATCCTCTTTTTTCTTTTGGTACCGGGGATCAAACTCAGGACCTTGTGCTTGCCAGGCAGTCAGCGGCACCACTGAGCCAAACCCCTGGCCCTGGATCTTATTCTCAAGGTTCTTGCAGCTCAGAGAAGACAGCCAGGGGAGAGGCGGTCACAGAAGGGTTAGACAAGGGCTGGGCCAGGTGAGAGCAGGCAGGGTGTGATGGAGCCTCCTGGGGCCACCAGAGCCTGAAACCTGGAGGCCCAAGAAGGCTGCCAGCTCAACTGAGCCTGAAGACCTAGTGCTCCTGTGTGCAGGGGCTTGGGGAAGAGTGGAGGCGACTGTTAGGAAGTAGAGAGAGTCTTCCAGACAGGGATGGCGAGAGCAAAGGCTGAGAGCTGGGAAAGAAGGGAATAGCAAGGCAGAGAGTCGTTTCCCAGGAGCTACTGGGTCAGGAAGCTTGGTGAGTCCGTGCAGGGTCTACCGGAAGCGTCTCCCTCCTTCTCTCTGCTTCTGTCCCCTTATCTTCCCTCTTCGTATACCTTGATTCTTCTATGCAATCAGAAAGGTGCTGCCGCTGGGATGACGTGTGTGGTAGTAGAACGGTGGTCTCCAAGGGGTCCATTTCCTAATCCCTAGGACCTATGAATATGATTCCTTACAAGGCAAGAGGATTCAGGTAAGGATCTTGAGGTGGGGACGTTTTCCTAGTTTATCTGGGTGGGTCCAAGAAGGCAGAAAGTCAGAGGCAAGGAGAGATTTAATTATGGGAGGCTGCGGGCCTTGAAGATGGAGGAGAGGGCCAGAGAATGCGGGTAGCCTCTCAGAGCTGGAAATGACACGGGACAGAGTCTGGAACAAAGCCCAGCTGACACCTTGAGTTTAGGCTTTCTGATCTTCAGAACTGTAAAGTAATAAATTTATCTTGTTTTAGTCACTGAGTCTGTGGCAATTTGTTATAGCAACTATAGCAAACCAATACAGGCTGGGGATTTAGCTCAGTGGTGCTGTCTGCCTCGCATGGTCCCAAGTTCGATCCCCAGTAGGAGGAAAAAAAGATTTAGTTAAGTGGTACCGATGCCTGCCTGGCAAGCTCAAGGACCAGAGTTCGATCCCTGGTACCAAAAAACAAACAAACAAAAAGGCAACATGGACAAGTAATTTAAAAAAAAACAAACAAATACAAAGTAAACAGGTTTAAGAATGATGTAGAAAATAACTGGATTAGAAGGAGGAGGAGATTAGAGAAAGAGGCACCGCTGGAATTTAGTCAGGCTTCAAGGCGGGCACCAAGGTGGGCTGAGGACCATCGGGGCTCAGCACAGTGGAGGGGCGTAGGGATGAGACACCGTTTTTGCAATGCTGGGTTGAGGCGTCTATGGGGGTTCGAGGTGAAGGTGTCAGTTGGCCCTTGGCTGCTGGGAGGAGGGCCGGGCAGGAGATCAAGATGAAGAAGGCCATCTGTGATCTGTGAGGGCTTTAAACCGTTGCTGTCCTTAATTTTTTTTTTTTTTTTGGTGTGTACCGTGGATAGAACTCCAGATCTTGTGCTTGTGAGGCAGGTGGTGGAACCACTGAGCTAAATCCCTGGACCCCACGTCCCTGTTCTTTAAGCAAAGCAGACCCACTCTTGCTGCGCATGGCTGTCTGAGCTCAGTGCCCTCTGGCTCCCAGCGGCACACCTGGGGGCTGTGCAGTCTTCTGGAGCCCCTTCTCCCCTCCTGCCCTGGCCATGGGTCCTGATCGCCTCCTTCTCAGATGTGGAGTGTGGTGCCTGCCCCATTCCGAGGAGGCGGCCTTCCTGACTGCACCTGCCAGGGAAATCCTAGCTTAATTTCACCGTGTCAGGTGTCGGGATTCAAGAGCCCCAGCCCCAGTGCCCGGCTTTTGCACTTATTTATTGTTCTCTGCTTGGAAGGATTCACTGGGTCTCTCTGGCTAAATTTCAAAGCGTTCCTGCAGAGTATTTCTTTCTGAGATGGGGTCTCATTGAGTTGCCCAGGTTGGCCTAAAGCTTGTGATCCTCCTGCCTCGACCCGAGTAGCTGGGATTACAGGTGTGCACCACTGCAGGATTTCTGAGCACTGGAGATAGCTTCACTGTATGTGGCGTTCGCTGCATTCACTTGTTGGTGTCCTTTACCATGAGCTCCCGCTAAGCAGGGACCCTGGTCTGCATTTCCGTATCCCCAGCACCTAACACTGCGTGGTCCAGTACACTTTTTTTTTTTGTTGGACTAAACCCTTCTCGGCTGCATCAGTGTCTGCATTTCCATTGCTGGGTGAGCTTGTGTGAACAGGGAGTTCTTTTTCCTGGCTGGGTTCCTGACAGGCAGTGACTAATTAGCAACAGGTGCGAGGCTGTGCGCAAACCCACGTGCTTCCCTTACATAACCCGTCCTCCTCCTGCTTGGGGGGCTGTCTCCCCCTTCCCTCCATGTGTCTGCAGTCGCGGGGAGTCACACATCTGTTGGCTTCCCTGACAGATACCTGTCTGGACGCACATATCTCATTGGACCTGGAATGTCTCGGCAGGCTTGGATCCCAGCCAGAAGGAGTGGTTGGAGTGCGTGGCTGGGGAAGAGGGTGGTGAAGGGGCTGAAGAATGACGGTGGCTAAAGCCCCCCATTTTTTCCTGCCGGGGTTGGAGAGTGCTGGAAGAACTGCATCTGAAGATGCAAAGGAAAGAGGGAAGCAGGGGAGCCCTCAGCTGTGCTGCGCGTCCCCTGTCACCCTCTGGGCTCATTCCAGCAAGAAGCAGCTCCGTGCAGGTGTTAGGGAGGCTCAGCTGCTGCTCCATCGCAGCCTTTCTCTCAGAGGGAGCAAAAGACGCTGCTGGGAAGGGAGAATTCCACTTCTCCAGGTCTGTTTACTTTTTTTTTTGCACTTCCCCCAACCTAGAAAAAGAAAGCAGATTGAGTTGATCAAATTACATGCTGTCCCCTGCTGCGCCTCCTCTTCCCTGCCCCAAGGTTAAAAGCGTTGACTGGATAATGTGCATTGTAACACTGGAGGCATTAAGATACACCACGCGGAAACCTCTCTATTTCTGCAAAGGAAGTTTCAATATAAGAGCCAAAAATGGACCAATAAATAGCAAAAGGGTGACATATTTAAGACCTTGATAGCGCCATGACCTGCCATTTTGCTAAAGCAGTGGTTCTCAAACGAACGCAAACCACCATCTCCCTGGGGCTTGAAAAAACGCAAATCGGGCCCCACCTCTAGTTTCTGCTTTTGCAGGTTTGGGGTCGGACAGAGCATTTGTGTTTTGAGTAAGTTCCCGAGGGCTGCTGCGGGTCGGGAAGCTGTTTTGAAAATCCCTCTTCCCCTCCCTCCTTCCCTCCCTCCCTCTTCCCCTCCCCCCTTCCCTCCCTCCCT